CGCGAGCGAGATGGAGCTGGTTGCTGCTGCTCGCGCCGCCTCGTGCCTCTGCGCAGCGGGGGAGGAAGGGGAGCGGTGGCGGTGCCAACGAGACCTGTGCAGGCGGCGCGGGGGGGCGGCCGGTCTGGGGCGGCTTGTCTGGTGCGGCGGCCTGCAGCAGCAGCAAAGCGGACGCGGTGTTGGCGTGAAGCTTGGTGAGGAGGGACTTTGGCGCGCGCAGCCGCAAGATGCGCGCGAACTCGGCGGTGGCAGCGTCGCCCTTTGCGTCTGCGACGCCAACCTCGTAGTGGAAGGCATACGGCTGCGGCGGAACCTGCGCGGGGCATCCGAGAAGGTTCCGAGAAGGTTCCGAGAAGGCCCCGAGAAGGTTCCGAGCGGAGCAGCTCGGCTGCCCCTCGGCTGCCCCTCGGCTGCCCCTCGGCTGCCCCTCGGCTGCACCCCGGCTGCATCTCGGCTGCCCCTCGGCTGCCCCTCGGCTGCCCCTCGGCTGCCCCTCGGCTGCCCCTCGGCTGCACCCCGGCTGCATCTCGGCTGCACCTCGGCTGCACCTCGGCTGCCCCTCGGCTGCCCCTCGGCTGCCCCTCGGCTGCCCCTCGGCTGCACCCCGGCTGCATCTCGGCTGCCCCTCGGCTGCCCCTCGGCTGCCCCTCGGCTGCCCCTCGGCTGCCCCTCGGCTGCCCCTCGGCTGCCCCTCGGCTGCCCCTCGGGCTGCCCCTCGGCTGCCCCTCGGCTGCCCCTCGGGCTGCACCTCGGGCTGCATCTCGGCGTGCATCCCGGCATCTAGGGAACACCTTGCGCAAGTGACCCGGCTTCGGGCCGCAGCCGAGAGCGGCGAGCGCTTGTTCGTATGCCGCGAGCGCCGCCTCCGGGGTGAGGCGGGTGGTGGTGAGGGCGTGTGAGATTGAGCAGAGGAGGAGGAGGAGGGAGAGGGAGGGAGAGGGAGGGGAGGGAGGGAGAGGGAGGGAGAGGGAGGGAGAGGGAGGGAGAGGGAGGGAGAGGGAGGGAGAGGGAGGGAGAGGGAGGGAGAGGGAGGGAGAGGGAGTGGGGAGGGGGCGGGGGGGGAGAAGTGTGCGAGACGAGGAGAAGGGTACAGGGCGAGAGGAGAGGGGGGAGGGGCGAGAGGTAGAGGTGCCTGGAGGTACAGCCAAGCGTGGAGCCAGAGCGGTCGCAAGGGAGAGAGATAGCGCGCAGTTGGCAGTGGGTGGGTGGGCAGTGGAGGGGTGAGGTGAGAGGGAGCAGAGCAGCTGGGCACCTCGCCATCTCCATCGCGAAAGGCCTCGTTGCCGCGCTCCTTGCCCTCCTCCGCCTCGGCAAGCCTCGCCACCGCCGCTCGCTCAAAGCAGCCCTTTGCGCCGCCCACAAGACCGCGAGCAAACAAGGCGACGCCGTCGGCGATCTGCGCGGCAGCGCCGCCGCCGCTGCCGCCCGTGCCCGCCGCAGCCTCGTCTCCCGCCTCGCCTGGCGGCGGCGGCGCGATCTCCGCCCGCACCTCGCAGGCGAGATGCGGCGTCTCGCCGGCACAGTCACCTCCTCCGCCTCCTCCGCCTCCCCCGCCTCCTCCGCCTCCTCCGCCTCCTCCGCCTCCTCCGCCCCCCCCGCCTCCTCCGCCTCCTCCGCCTCCTCCGCCAGCGGCCGCTGGGGCACTCGCAGCGAGACCGACCCCTTCAGCCACGCCGACCTCTCCCGCCCCTCTCTCTCCCGTGTGCCGCACGATGGCCGCCTCGACCCCTTCAGCCGGCCGACCCGCCAGCCGCTCCCGCAAGGCTGCCTCGAAGCTGCCGCCGCCGAGGCCCGCTCTCCCGGCCGCCTCGCCTCTCTCGCCGAGCGGAGACTCGACAAGCAGGAGCTGGCGGCCGCCAGGCACGAGTGGTCGGGCGGCGTCGAACCAAGCGCCGCCGGGCGCCGCGTTCCACCAGCGGCGGATGGCGACGAATGCGCACCCGCGCGGCCCATCAGCGAGCTCGTACACGACGAAGCCCTTGACGAGCGTTGCGTCGCTCGAGGCAGCGAGCTGCGCCGCGCGCTGGAAGCTGCTCGCCGGCTCGCGCTCGCCGCTGGCGTCGACGGCGACGGCGCGGCAGCGCACACCGCGGAGCGTGCCGTTGACCAGCGCCCGGAGCGGCTTGCTCGTGCTGAAGACGCGAGGCCAGTCGCTGGGGAAGCAGAGCTGCGCGGAGGCGCCCGAGGTGACGAGCTCGACGGCCGCCTCGTCGCTCGCCAGGACGTCCGCTGCTGTCAGCCACTCGGGCGAGAGCACCATGTAGAGCGACCAGACCGTTTTGAGTAAAAGTCGAGCCGCCGGTGGCATCTCTTTCCACCCAAGAAGCCCGTTTGGAGGGATGGGCGGCAGTGTGCGGGCGGTGAGTGCTAGTCCTCTCATCAATTTAGAACGAAACGCCCCTCCCTCCCTTCTTCCCTCTACTAGCTGAGGGGCTCGCTAAACGCTCGCCGAGCTCCATGCTGTGCAACACCACCTCCTCACTAATCGTCAGGGGCGCGGAGAGCGCAGGGTGCACTGCGGTGAGGCTGCGCAGCGGGGGCTCGCCCCCTGCACCGCGCTTTCAGCGGCGTACTATAGGGGAGAGGGCGGTCGGTGGCGGCGGCGGCGAGGCGCGAGGCGGTGGCGGCGGTGGCGCGGGCGGCGGGATGACAGGGGAGGCGGCGGGATTGACAGGGGAGGCGGCGGCCACGAGCGGAGCGGCGCGAGAAGGGGGGGGGGCGGCGGCGAGGCGCCGGTGAGCGAGGCGCCCGCGCCATCAGAGGGACGCGCCGCTGCGAGATGGAGGGCGGCGGTGACGGAGGCGAGGCGCGAGGCGGCGGCGGCGGCGGCGGCGGCGGCGGCGGCGGGTCTCGGTGAGCGGCGGCGGGAGGAGGAGCAGCGGCGGTGGGAGGAGGAGCAGCGGCGGCGCTCGCTCGCTGTTGACGGGAGCGCTTTTGAGCCTGGGATCCCATGCCGCTGCGACCGGCGTGCCCGGGAACGGAGATCGCGCGCGCGCCGCCACTCACGACGCGCGCGCGATCTTCGCGGAGTCGGGTCCCCAGAGGGAAGCGGTCTTCTCGGCCGACGTCCAGCGGCGCGCAAGGAAGCAGGCGCAGCGGAGGCGGCCTAGCACCGGCTCGGCGCCGGGCGGTTGCGCTGCCCGCGAGCCGCGTCCTGAGCCTCGGCAGCGCGCTGCGCGGCGCGGCGCTCGCGCTGCTTCTGTGCCGAGAGCGGCATGATTCGCTGAAGCTCCAGACTCCTCGGGTATCACGAGTTCTGGGGGTCACGATTTGCGCAGGTTGTGGGGAAATTGGCGTAAGCGTCTGAAAGCAGTCTTGGGTGGTCCACTAGAAATGCGCCAGATTTTTCTTTTTTTGAGAGCTTCGTTGTACACCCAATGGTCCCCTGCGAGCGGTCCTTCGTTGCAGTCGCACACACGCACACGCCACGCCGCACCGCGCGCCCGCCCACTGCCCCGCCCAGGCGGGAAAGAGGTGAGGAGATGGGACAGCAAAGGAGGAGCCACAAACACGTATGGGAGGGTTCAGTTGTGCGCCACGCTGCCCGGCGTTTCTCACTTTCCGGGACAGCCCGAGGGCCCAACTTGAGAATCGTGCTTTTTGGGTTGGGTTGGGTTGTTGGGTTGGGTTGGGTTGTTCCGCGTGAGGTTGGGTCGTCGGCGCGAAGGGTGAGGTCTCGACCGCCGCCGCTCACGCCAGCGGACGGCCACTGCCGGTGTTTTTGGCTTCGCCACCGTTCAAGGCGTGCGCCATGCGCTCGCCGGCATCGAGCGAGCAACGTGATCGACCGAGCGGCTTGCTGTGTGGTCGCCTTCTTGTGGCTCTCGTCGAGAGCGTTTTGCGTCCCGGCGGGTGGGAGAATGTGTGTCGTTGATGTGTCACTGTGTGCGTCACATCGATGTGGATAACAAGCACGGTCGATCCGTCAAAGCGATACACTCGTTCCTATCACGCTGGAAGGCTTGCACGGAGCTCTGTGCCGGCACACAGAAGAGCCGTGCGGCAAGAAGAGCTCGATGGGGAGCGAGAACTGCCAGAGGTGCTCACCCAGGTTTCGGAAGTCCGCCTTGATGCGGTCAGTCCCCCCCAGGTTTGACCGCGCAGCTCGCAAGACTCGTCGAACACTCGTAGCCTTTCTGCGCCTCTGACTCTGCAAGCTATGCGGGAAGAGCAGTTTATTCGCAATATATCGACGAGTTCGAGAGAGCCACAGGCTTTCGCTCGGGAGGGATTGAGTGCGTCGCGACGGACTTCAGGCTACACCTGAAAATCTGACGGTTCTCGCTCCCCATCGAGCTCTTCTTGCCGCACGGCTCTTCTGTGTGCCGGCACAGAGCTCCGTGCAAGCCTTCCAGCGTGATAGGAACGAGTGTATCGCTTTGACGGATCGACCGTGCTTGTTATCCACATCGATGTGACGCACACAGTGACACTTCAGACGACACACATTCTCCCACCCGCCGGGACGCAAAACGCTCTCGACGAGAGCCACAAGAAGGCGACCACACAGCAAGCCGCTCGGTCGATCACGTTGCTCGCTCGATGCCGGCGAGCGCATGGCGCACGCCTTGGACGGTGGCGAAGCCAAAAACACCGGCAGTGGCCGTCCGCTGGCGTGAGCGGCGGCGGTCGAGACCTCACCCTTCGCGCCGACTGAGGGAGGGTGTAGAGGATGTAGAGTGTAGAGCGCTGTAGAGCTGTAGAGATGTAGAGTGCTGGAGAGCGCTGTAGAGCTGTAGAGCTCTACATCCGCCGCGTGACGAGGCGCCTGCGTTGTAGAGCGATGTAGAGGCGCTCTACAACGTGAAATCTCTACAACAAACTCTACATCATAAGCGGCGAACGAGGCACGGTCGCTCTCCGACATGAGGCGCGTTGCACTTGCCAGTGCTGCCCTGGCCTTCTGTCTGCCCGCCCAATGGGTGGCAGGTGCCTCTGCTGCTATGGCATGCCTCACGGCTGCGACTGGCCGGCGCCTCGGCGCGTCAGCTCGGCTCGGCGTAGCGATAGTGGCCAGCGCAACTCGCCTGGACTCAACGCTCAGCCAGGAGCTCCCGCACGCGCTGGCGCGAGTCATGGCGCATGCAACGCGTCTGAATGCTCGCCTCGCCTCGCGCAAATGCGACCGTCCTCGCAGCCGACAGTCCACCGCCTGCTAAAGAAGCACAGCGACGAATGCGGCACCGGCGACACATGGCAGGCTGGTCATGACGCAGTTATAGGGTGTTGTGTGCCGTCAGAGGGACTCTCTGTGTGTCAGGGATAGTCAGGGCTGTCCATCAGAGCTTCACTAAGCTCGGAGACACCCCATTAGCGCGGCTCGACCTCTTTGAGTCACTGCCTTCCCGGCGGTTTGGCTGTAGAGCCTCTACAACAAACTCTACAACAAAATCGCGCTCTACATCGCTCTACAACGCAGGCGCCTCGTCACGCGGCGGATGTAGAGCTCTACAGCTCTACAGCGCTCTCCAGCACTCTACATCTCTACAGCTCTACAGCGCTCTACACTCTACATCCTCTACACCCTCCCTCAGCGCGCCGACGACCCAACCTCACGCGGAACAACCCAACCCAACCACAACCCAACCCAACACGAAACAACCCAACTCAAAGCACGATTCTCAAGTTGGGCCCTCAGCCCCGCCCTTTCGAGGCAGGAAAGTGAGTAAGTGACGGCTACCCCCTACGCCCTGTTGCTTCTACCCCGACGCCGACCGCCCATTCCCCCCTCCTCGTTCCCCCCTCGAATTCTCCGGACCCCGACAAGCCGCCTGACGTCGGGCCTCTGCCCCGCACGCCCCCGCCCCTTCACTCCCTTTGCTGCCACTCATAAAATCGTTGGGTCGCTTCAGTTCACGTGGGCCGACCCTCCGATTTTATGAGAAGAGAACAAAGGGAGTGTCCGATGGCGAACCGCAGCGAGAAATGAAATAAATAAAACTGTGAACGAGAGCGACAATTCGGTATCACGGGAGGGAGGGGGGAGAAGTTGTGAGAAGAGACTTCGCACCCCCCATCTCGCGATGCTTTCGATCCTCTCGCAGTCCGTCGCGCTGAACGCGCCGCTCCGCCCGACGCCGGTCCGCGCACCCGCTCGGCCGCCGCCGCCGCCGCGCGCGCCTCTCCTCGCCTCGCCTGCTGCGCCGCCCCGAGTGTCGCAGCCGCCACTCCGCCGCAACTGCATCGTCACCTCGTCTCGTCTCGTCTCGGCGCGGTGCAGGTGCAGCGCGCGGTGTCGCCGCAGATGGCGGACATCTCGGCCTTCGGCGACATCTGGGGCATCGAGGCCAAGGAGGCCGTCTTCAACGCGTGGGACCCGGAGAAGCCGCGGGACTACTCCAACTTCAACCCGTTCGAGCGCAACCTTGATGGTGCCATGTCGGACATGAACGGCTGCTTCCCGGGCGAGTCGCGCGGCTACAAGCCGCCCAACCGCCCCGACGCCAGCTGGGCCATCATGCAGGAGGAGGCCAAGAAGATGGAGGTGATCAAGAAGGACCCGAAGTACGGCCTCTCCGGCAAGCCGGGCTGCTACTCGCTCAAGTGGCAGGAGAACCTGGGCGCCCCGCCCTAGAGGCCCGCGCAGAGGGCCCTCTCGCTCGCTCGCTCGCTCCTCCTCTCTAGGTAGCACGCTCATGTACATCTCTCCCCCTTGGCCTCGCGCCGACGAGCCCGGGACCAGCCCGGGACACTGCCTGTCGTTTGCTTGGAGCGCACTGCTTGCCCGTCTTGGTTCTCAAGATTTTCGTGTTCGGAAACAAATTCTCTTTGCTCTTCACACTTCTGAAACAGGGGTCAGGGCAGCTGGTTGGGAGACTCTTCTGGTCTACCGCTGTGGTGGTGCCCGCGCGAGAGGCCGAGGCAAGGACGCTGCAGGTGATGCCCGTTTCAGGCGTGGGGTGGGTGGGGGGTGTGGCAAAGTGGCGAAGCAACGTTTTTCTTCTGACAGTCTGAGCTTCGCCAAGCATCTCCGACACCATAAATCTCGGCCAAAATGCTCTCCCTCGTGTCGCAGTCGCTCTCGCTCAACGCGCCGCTCCGCCCGACGCCGGTCCGCGCAGCCCACGCCACACGCCGCACGCCGCACCTGGACCACGCTTAACCTCCTCGGCGCGGTCTCGCAGGTGCAGCGCGCGGTGTCGCCGCAGATGGCGGACATCTCGGCCTTCGGCGACATCTGGGGCATCGAGGCCAAGGAGGCCGTCTTCAACGCGTGGGACCCGGAGAAGCCGCGGGACTACTCCAACTTCAACCCGTTCGAGCGCAACCTTGATGGTGCCATGTCGGACATGAACGGCTGCTTCCCGGGCGAGTCGCGCGGCTACAAGCCGCCCAACCGCCCCGACGCCAGCTGGGCCATCATGCAGGAGGAGGCCAAGAAGATGGAGGTGATCAAGAAGGACCCGAAGTACGGCCTCTCCGGCAAGCCGGGCTGCTACTCGCTCAAGTGGCAGGAGAACCTGGGCGCCCCGCCCTAGAGGCCCGCGCAGAGGGCCCGTAATAGCCGCTGCATGCTCCAGAACTGAGCTCTTCTCCCAGCGTGTGGGTGCTATTCGTTTAAAAGAGCTTGGACAACCTTATGGGGCGGAGTGAGCGACTCTCTCCGCGTGCGAGCAGCAGCGCCCGCGGGCCAGCTCAGCCATCGCGCATCAGAGAGAGCGCAGTGTGCGCACGCGCGCGGAGAGAGCGTGAAACAAGAGCCGAAAAGCAGAGAGCTGCAGTGCAAACGGTGTCGCGCCCCGCAGCGGGTACGACACACCTCGAGTTCACGCGATGCGGGCGGAGGGTGCGGATTGGCGTGTGCGTCCACCCCTCTTCCTCCTCTCCGCGGTGCGTGCGTGGGCAACGTTGCCACCGGCTGCGGGCCCAGAAGACAACAAGACAAGCAGAGCTCGACGGCGGCGGGCAACGACGGCGAAGGGGCCGGCGCGGCGGGTCGCCGGTCGAACCAGCCGTGCGCCGGCCGCGTCGCGCGAGACGGCGCCCAGACGAGCGGCAGAGGCGAGGCGACGGGCCGCCGCCCTGCCCCTCCGCCGCCCTGCCCCTCGGCCGCCCTGCCCTTCCGCCGCCCTGCTCCCCCCCCCCCCCCCTTCTCACACCCGGGCACCCGACGCGGCGGGCGGCGGCGGCAGCGATGTGGCGCGGCCGTGCGAGGGCGCGCAGAAGCCCACCGCCAGCAGAGGCGTCGCCATCACAGCGGGCAAGACGCGATGCGGCGGCGGCAGCAGAAGCGGCGGCAGCGGAGGCGGAGGTGCACCGCTGGTGAGGGCGGCGGCGGCGGCGGCGGCGGTGGCGGCGGCGCCTCGCTGCCCGCGCGACTGGGGCGCGGCGGCGCGGGGCGGCGGCGGTCGCGCCGCAGAGGCTGAGGCGGCGGCTGCCGAGCCTGTGAGTGGGTGGGTGGGTGAGTGGGTAGGGGGGGGAGCGGCGTGGTGGAGGCGTGAGGCCCGAGGGCAGGGGAGGCAGGGAGGGCAGGGAGGGAGCAGAGGAGGGAGGGTCCGAGGCATGATGCCTTCGGCCGAGGCTGCGGCGTTCGAGGCGGCTAGGCGCGACCGCGCGCCCGCCTGTCGGTGCAGAGCGCGGTGAAGGAGGGGGGGGGGGGGGATTAGTGGCTGACCGGAGTGGCGGCTTTGAACGACGGTGCGACACAGGAGTGGCGGGCAGGGGCGCGGGCGGGGCGCGGGCGGGGTCTCGGCGTAGCGCGGCGTGGCGGCGGCGAAGTGGCTAGCGGCAGGCGGCGCGCCTTTCGCTCGAGGTTCCGAAGCAGGACTGAGGACTCCCTGTTGCGGGGAAGGGGGGAGGGGGGGGCATCGGGTCGGCAGAGAGCGGCGCCGGCCGGGGGCTGCGAAGGCTCGGACTCGTCGGGCCCTGGGGCGAAGCCGCGTGGCGGCGGGCAGGAGAGCGCACCACTTGTCAAACCAGCAGCGGTGGCAGGCGCTGCTCTTCCCGATCTGCGAGGGCGGCGGCGAGCTCTTGCACGCGCTTGGGCCGGATGGTCCACCCGTTCGCGAAATCTCGGCTGGGGCGCACTCCGCCCGCGGTGTGGGGGCCTGTGGGTGGGCCGCTTGGGGGGGGGGAGGGGCAGGTGGGATATGTGCTCGGTTCACCTGAGCGCCACACATGTCGCAGGACCGCGCTCTTGCTCTTGAGGGCGCGCTGGCGCTGGGCTGCGCCGCGGGCCCCGGCTCGCGACATTCCGGCCTCAGGACCGCATTGCTGGGCGAGCGCTGGATGCACTGCCGCGTCGAGCGCGCCCAAGTCAGGAACGGCTGAAACGAACCTGTCTGCAGCATGAGCAGCGACGGCTGCTCGAAGAGCTCGCGCTGCCGGATACCGACGACGGCAGCAGCCGCCCTGCGGATTCGCTCCGCCTCCGCGCTGGTCGTCGGCTTGCTGCTCGTCGGCATTGAGAGCGCGGGCACGCCTTATTTCGGCCCCATCATCCTTCCCCACCCTTGCCCCGCGTGGGCCCTGCACCGATTTTGTGCTGCTGACACTCGCCCGCCGTCGCGCGCGCGCGGTTACTGTGTTTGACGTCCTCTCCACGAGCGATTCAGGCCGCATAGCCGCCGCGCCTCTGCGAGGTCTAGCGGTCTCGGGCACCGTACCCATCGGTTACTCGATCGTGTTCGACGATGTCGTCGAACACAAGTGGAGAATGGCCGTAGCTCCTCGCCACGAGCGATTGAGAAGATGTACCAAGTATCGATTCCGTATAGAATTGCGAGGCGCACACGCTGGTGCAGGCGGTGAGTCGTCGATCCGACTCGTTCCGCCGTGAAGTCGCCGTGAAGGTTAGGCAAACAGGGCCATTTTTGCCACATTTGCCCTCGCGCGCGATCTTCTCGCGTCGGCAAGCGCGCGGGCCAGGATGGGCGAGCCGGTCCCGCCACGCTGGACGGGCCAGCGGCTGGCACGCGCCGGCCACCCCGGCGGCGCGGCGGCCTCATCGCGCTCGTCGTCTGCGAGGCCACCGCTCGGCGTCGCCGCGTCCGACGGCGATGGCGCTTGGCTGTGAGGTGGGACGGCAGCATGGTGCGCGCGGGCGTGGGGGTGGTGCGGGATGCGCGTGCCAGCAAGCCTAGTTTCACCTCTACCCACCCCGCAGGCGCGCCGACGTGCTGCCCAAGCGCGTTTGGAGGCAGCAGCAGCTCCTCGCGAGGCGCCTTCGGAGGGGTGCCACACCCCTTTCCCAGCCGCGCGCGAGTTGAGCTCCGATTTGCGCTCTTTTTTGCACACGCCCGACGCTAGTAGGTGAGGATCGACCATCCTCCGCTAGCAGGGCTTCGTCGGGCGCGTCTTCGTCGAGCGGTGGTGCATCTCCCATGCTCCCACCCGCGCCCTCCTCGCAGCGTGCCCGCGGCCGACACCGACGCCCTCACGTGCTCACCCTAGTCGTAGGTGCGGTTTTTTTGCGTGCCCCCCGTCGGTCCGGGGCACTGGGCGATGGCTGGGCTTGTCGCCGGGCGAGCTGGCCCCTCAGCCGGCCGCGGAGCGGAGGTGCGAAATCGAGGCGGCGCGGCACCTGCGCGCAGCCTGTCCGGCCGGCGCGCGCATGGTTCCGTAGCCCGTCTAGTGCCTCACTGACCGACTCCAGCGCCACGGTGTACGTGGCCGGTGTGGTACTGGGGCTGGGCAGCCTTGGGGCCGGCGGAGACCGCCGTCTAGCGGTCGCACTAGTCTCTTTTCGTTGTTCGACCTGTTTGTTCGACGGTTGTTCGACCATACTTTGAGCCTTAATTATTAATTCGGGTTTGGGTCTCTGAAGTCGATACTAGCGTCTGTAACTTGCCACAAGCACGCTTTACAAAAGTCGTGCTGAGCGGGACTCGCAGAACCGCCGTCCGCGCGCGCTGTGAACAGCGCCATGGTCGAACGTTGCTGCTGTTCGACGACGTCGAACACGTAGCGAAAGAGAGACCGCCATACTACTCAAAAGTAATCAAAAGTACAATGTACTACCACAAAGCACCACTAGCGATTTCGCGCGGAGGGCGTAGTGAAGCGCTGGGGCGCTCACTGTGTGTTATTCGGGTGGGGATCCATCAGTGGTAACCGGCTTTTGTATATATTCTGTCCGTCTCGCTCAGGACAACACACAACTTGATTCACAACAGCCCTCTCCCTCCTCCACCACTCACCCGGCGGCGGCGGCGAGAGAGAATGGGTCGGCGCGGGGGCGGGCGCGGGGCAGGCGAGAGCGCCCCGTCGCTGCCCCTCTCTCTGCCATCACGCTGCAGAGGCGTGGGCGTTTGCATTCACTTCCGCCTTGCCCTCTTCCGTTGGCAGGTCGATCCAGCAGTAGGTGAGCTCGATGCTCTCGCTCGCCCTCCTGCCCTCCGCCTACTCGCACATCGAACGCGACGTCTGAGCCGAGGCGCTTCGCCCGCCCCCGTCTCGCGGGCGCCCTCTCGCATCGCCGCCTCCTCCGGTGCCGCCGCGGGACAGATGAAGACGGCGTTCGCTGCCGCAGAGCCGAGGGCGTTAACGGACGCCGCCAAGCGCAGCGCGTCCGCCGCGACGTCCGCCATCAGAGGCCTGACGGGCGAGGCAGCGGCGTGCGAGGGGGCTGAGAGAGGGAAAAGGCACACAAGGGCTCGGAGAGAGGGCCGCGGCGCGATGGAGGCTTGAGCTCGCCTGCTCGCGGGCTGCAGCTGCAAGCAGCTCCGGATGAGGTCCGCGAAAGCCGCGCGGTCCGGGAGGAGGCTGGTAGCGGGGTGGAGGTCATCGAGGCTGCTGCCCGCCTCGTACTCGTCCACGTCGCGAGGGTGCCTGGCAGGGAAGAGGAGCGGAGGTCGCTCTCTGACGGCAGCAGAAGCCGGGGGACGTCCGACCTCAGCAGTGCCTCTCGGCTATGCGCGTCGCCTCTGGTGCATGAGGGACCAGAGCAGCATCCCGTACGAGTAGACGTCGCACTGCTCGTTGTAGGCGGACCGCTGGACCAGCGAGGAGGAGGAGCGCACCTCGGGCGCCTGCTGAGAGGAGCCGCAGGTGTGAAGAGGCGCTCGGCGGGGGTGGAGGGGGGCGAGGGTGCGGTGGCCATGAAGTATCGGGTTCCGATGCCGGCCGTGTGGCCTGACGAGGGAGGCGAGGCCGAGGGGGCGGCGGCGGTGGAGGCGGAGGAGGAGGGCGAGGCCCGGGACGAGGTCTTGTCGATGAGCGCCGCGATGCCGAAGTCGGCCACCTTGGCGTGCGCCGACCCGTCGAGGAGCACGTTGGAGGGCTTGATGTCGCGGTGCATGACGTTGTTGCGGTGGAGGAAGCCGATGCCGGCCGCAACCTCGCTGGCGATGCGGCCGGCGAGGCAGGCGGGGAGGGGCTGCGGCTGCTCGAGGAGCGAGGCGAGGGTGGACGGCAGGAGCTCGAGGAGCAGCGCGCTCGAGCCGTCGGGCAGCAGAGTGTGGCCGTAGAGGGCGCAGACCGACGGGTGGCGGAGCCGCGAGAGGAAGCTCGCCTCTTTGCGCAGCGCGTGGTTCTTGCGCAGATGTCGCGGCACCTTGACCGCCACCGGCACGCCGACCCACCGGCCAGAGTAGACTGCCGCCTGGCCTCCCTGGCCAATCAGCCGGTCGATGGTCACCTGCGGGCAGGGTCATCGGTTCAGATCCAGCCGAGATCCAGCCGAGATCCAGCCGAGATCCAGCGGCAGGGCGGGTGCGGACACCTCGCTGGCCGATATCTCGGCGTGGGGGGCGGCGGAGGCGGCGGAGGCGGCGGAGGCGGCGGAGGCGGAGGGGGCGTCAACAGGAAGGCCGGTCGTGCCTGGCGAAGCCTGCAGCGCATTTTCGGTGTACTCGCTGCTCGTGTCGATGCTCTGGCACCGGCGCAGGTAGCCGGCTCGGCCTCGGAGAGCAGCCCGCCGGCGGCGAAGCTTGACGCAACAGAGAAAGAGTGCTACGACGCCGACGGCGGCCGGCACGACGATGGCCGCCACCGGAATGCCCGGAGGCGGGGCGGCGGGCGGCGGGTAAGCCTTCGCCGCCGTCTTCGAAGGCTCCTTCCAGTCTGCTGTCTTCTCCCGAGCCTGCTCCACCGCCTCAGCAGTAACCCGAGCCCGCTCTTCCGAGCTCAACTTCACAAATTCTTCTTCGGACATCTGCTCCTTCGTCTTCTCAGCCGCGACCCCAGCCTCCGCCGTCTTCGAAGGCTTCTTCCAGTCTGCTGTCTTCTCCCGAGCCTGCTCCACCGCCTCAGCAGTAACCCGAGCCCGCTCTTCCGAGCTCAACTTCACAAATTCTTCTTCGGACATCTGCTCCTTCGTCTTCTCAGCCGCGACCCCAGCCTCCGCCGCGTCGAGCGCCTTCCGCCTCTCCTCCCGCGCCGCCACCGCCTCCGCGCCCTCCCGCCGGAGCGACGACGCCTTGAGAGTGCGTCGGGCCGCCGCCGCCCTGACCTGGCCCAGGGACATGCCGTACTCGGCCTCTTGGAGAGGGCGATCTGTGTATGCGATGATGGTTGTCGTCTCGGACATCTTGAAAGTATCTGCCGTGAGGGTGTAGAGGCCCGTCGCCGCAAAGTCGCGTGAAATGAAGAGGAAAAACATCGTGAACTTCATAGCTTGTGAAAACCTGCGAGGCAGCAGGTCAGTAGGGTGTCCGAGTACAGGAATCGCGGCGCACGTGCCGAGATCTCAGATCATCGCGTCACGAGACGAGTAAAGTGCCTAAGCAGCGGAGGTGTGCCGAGGGGGACCGGGAGGCGGTAAGTCGTCGTCGCCCGGCGCTGCTTGCAGCACCATGGCGAGGGCGCTAAGAGGTTCCTCTTTTCCGCCCCCCCCCGCAAGGCGCGCGATACACACTCTACCCGAGTACACAGGCCGGTTCGAATACCAGGGAAGTTCGTCTGAACTGCGAACGAACCGGAATATTTATTTTTTGGCTCTGCAGGCCTGTATAGTCCCTGGTTGCCTACTAGAGGCCTAGTACGCCTGGACGCCTCGGGGAGCCCCCGTCTCACCCATTCTACTCGCCAGTCAGCACGCACGGCGCCCAGGCACCACAGGGCGGCTCTGCTCACAGCGCCTTCAATGGAGTACATGCGCAAAAACCACGCCAAGTACGCGAAGGCGTGAGCAAGGAGGCGTCGAGGCTGAGCGGGTCCGCCCCCCCCCTCCCCCTTTTCAATGGTCCGCGGCGGGCGGCGGCGCACCGGGGTAGTCGCGCCCGCAGTCCGCTAGATTGCAGACTGTCGCGGACCGTCAGAATTGTGCTAGTGCCGCCTGTGTACGTGTATATGGGCACCTGAGATTGAGGGCCAGACCGCGTCCGCACGCGGCACGTGGCGCAGTTGCGCGAGTTCGTTCGTTCAGCGCGGCTCGTGGCTGAACTGCACGCCGAACGAACGAACTTTGCGATGATTTTCTTTTTCCTAAGTTCGAACGGAGTTCACGAACACGTTCGTCCGTCTTCGCAGTTCGCGCCTTCCACAGCCGTGGCGGTCCGTTCACTTTCGAGATTCGGGCTGGGCCCCGCCGGCTGCGTTCGTTCGAGTTCGGAGTTCACGAAATCCGCGCGAACTCGAAAGGCTCAGGCCCAGTGAGGTAGTGCGCCAGACTAACCCAATGTCAGAGAGATCCTGCTGAACAAGCTCCTCTTGTAGCTCGATCGGTCACAACCGCCACCACCGACGACATCTCCGCGGAGATGATGGAGAGGGGGGACGACACCGCCCGATCTACCCTCCGAGGTCCCTCGGCGGCGTGCACCTCGATCCTGGACCGTGTTTGTTATGACCCCCCCCCATGAGCACACCAGCGAGGGAGGGTGAGACGATCGAGGGGTCCCGTACCATGCGGAATCGACCCTATCCAGTGCTCAAGTGCTCAACTGATCTCGATCTCGAGATCGGGAAGTGCCAACAACGTTCCCTGTAGTCATTTGTCGCCAAGCCTACTGGTAGGTCTCGTGCCCCCTCTCAAGCCCTCTTCTTACCTGCCTCCATTTTGCCCTTTTGATCGCGAGCGACTGTCCAGAGTCTGCCGCATGCGGCACGAGGAAGAAGACGAGGAGGTCTCGGGCATTACCGGATCAATGGCTCGTGCCCTTCCTTTCGCCCTACCTTTGAGCGACAGTCCGCATAACGCAAGCGGCTGTGGCGAGATCCAGAGCTCGCAGTCGATTCTGTCGCAGTGGCGCAGATCGACACGTCCCATCAACCGCCCCAGCGGTATGGGGCATGGAGTCGACGCCGCCGAAGCTGCCGCCTTCACCACCGCCGCCTCCACCGCCGCCGCCTCCAACGCCTCTGCCTCCACCACTGCCAATGCCGCCGACGCCGCCCCGCGCCCGCAAGGACGATCGACCCTCTTCCGCATCGACAACAGCGGCATCGCGCGGGTGGACGAGGGGAGGGAGCCCAGCTGCCTTTACCGCCTCAGGTGCAGAGAGCTCCGGAGCCCACCCCGCCGCTCGCCCAGCATGCCACGCGCCTCTGACTGCATGCGCCGCCGGTACGGCCAGGCGGGCCGTTTTTCGGGGAGAAGACGAGCAGTCGCTCACGCTGCTCACCGTGCGGCGGGCGCCCGGGGGAGACGAGGCTTGCCCTGCCTCTCCCAGCAACGCCCCCCGACATAGTCGCGATGCTTCCTAGTGGCCTGTCTCAGAACGTGGAGATGCGGGGGGATTCAGTGTCGCGGCCTCCTCGAGCCCTGGCGAGTGATGAGCTGGCGAGGAGGCCGCGACACGGACACGAAGATGCTGAGCCTGGCCCTCGCCCCTAGTTTGCAGAGAAAAACCCCGCCCCCCGGAGCCGCAGGTGCCGCTGGGCCAGCTGCTGTGCACGCGAATACCGCCGCCCTTGCTACCCGACGAGCCGCTGACGACTCCCGTGTACGTGCGCGCCGAGGGCTCGCTCGCGCCCGAGTCCGCCGCCGCACTCGATGCTATCTTCGCGCGGCTCGCGGTCCTCGCCCAGAGGAAGCGAGACGGCCCCAACGGGCTGAGCGCCCGCGACACCGAATTGGCCAGGGCCGAGAGCATTTTTGTCGCCCCGACCCCAGAGGCTGAGCAGCAGCAGAGGCGTTCGTGCAACCCTAGCCTCCCTCCATAGCATTTTTGTCGCCCCGACCCCAGAGGCTGAGCAGCTGAGGGGTGGCCCGTCTACCGTCTACCGGTAGACTGGGGTAGACTGGGGTAGACGGTAGACCGTTTGGTAGACGAGTCTACCGGTAGACCGTGATGAACCTACGACCCCAGTCTACCGGTAGACTTGGTAGACCGCGGTAGACTCGTCTACCCCTTTTTCAGCCGCCGAACGGTAGACCGCCGCCGCCGGACGGTAGACCGCCTCGGGCCGTTTGAATATGCAGCCTCCAGTTCTCCACTCTGGCGCCACTTTGGCAGACGAGCGCCGGCAGATGCCCTCGCGGCCTGCCGGCGAACGTCCGTCCGGCGAGAACGCGCGCCATAATGGACGTGTGGCTGTCTGGCGAAAACTCGCTCTCGAGAGCCGCGAGAGGGCGGCGCTCTGCAGTGAGCGGTTCCGCCCGATGAGTGTGTAAAGACGTTCATTTGATCTCATAAAAGACACGGAGCGCGCCTCGCACGGAAATGGCATGAGGTGAAGCTCACAGCGACCGCGCTCAACAGCCTCTCTCACCGGCAGATTTCGCCCGCGCGGCAGACCGCACTTTCATCGCGCGTTCTCGCCGGACGGACGTTCGCCGGCAGGCCGCGAGGGCATCTGCCGGCGCTCGTCTGCCAAAGTGGCGCCAGAGTGGAGAACTGGAGGCTGCATATTCAAACGGCCCGAGGCGGTCTACCGTCCGGCGGCGCGGTCTACCTCATGTATCGGAGTTATGGTCCTGATACGACCTGTGAACGTGAAGAGAGTGGTACCAGCACTGTCGATCGTTACGGCACGCAAGGAGGGCCTCCCGGACGTATGATCCTAGCCCAATAAGTTCCACGGAGCAGATTTGGATTTTTGACAGAATTAATGCACTGCCCCCGCACGATACTAACTATCGTAGTTTTGGTCCCGGTGCCCTTCACGGCACCACACCGCCGCTTGAAGGCCCGAGATTAGCCTAGCAGTGAGTGGGCATCGCCTGCCGGTCGGCTGGGCACGAGCCAAGCACTTGGGTGGCCGTCGACCGAGTCCGAGCGGCGCCTGAGGTGGGTGCCACGGCGTCTGCACGAAGGCGTGGCGGGGTGAGGAGCCAGGAGTGGTGAACACCTCCCCGTCGGGCGCGCGGCGCGCCGGATGGTCCGCCGAGGCCGCCGCCGCCCCGACGGCGGCGATGAGGGCGGCGGGGTCGACCCAGCCGGCGTTTGTCGGCTCCACCTACAGAGAAGCAGCCTCTGTGGGTCGACGATACTAACTCGGTAGTAACGCGGAGCGGTGCTGTGCGGCGCCGAGTCGTGCGCGAGGCGACCTCCTGAGGCTACCTGAGCTGGCAATGGATGCCACCAGGACGCACGGCTAGCAGGAGCCAGTCAGGCATGCCCTGCTGTGGAGCAGAGCCAGCTGGCGCACCGGCGATACTAACTCAGCGCGCCGCGAGAGGCGAATCTGGGCGACTTTGGAGGCGCAGTTCTCGAGCTTGCCGTCGACGATTGATGTCGGGTAAATTGTCACTGCCGTCCGGGAAGGTCTTCTCTCAACAGGCCGAGCGCCGTGGCCTGGCTCGGCTCGCCGCGGGCGCCACGAATTTATCAGGACCAAAACTCACGAGACCTCGATACTAACAAAAACTACGATACATGAGGTACCAAGTCTACCGGTAGACTGCAGTCGTAGGTTCATTGGTAGACTGCGGTAGACTCGTCTACGAAACGGTCTACCGTCTACCCGGTCTACCGGTAGACGGTAGACGGGCCACCCCTCAGCTGAGCAGCAGCAGAGGCGTTCGTGCAACCCTAGCCTCCCTCCATAGCATTTTTGTCGCCCCGACCCTAGAGGCTGAGCAGCAGCAGAGGCGTTCGTGCAACCCTAGCCTCCCTCCATAGCATTTTTGTCGCCCCGACCCCAGAGGCTGAGCAGCAGCAGAGGCGTTCGTGCAACCCTAGCCTCATAGCATTTTTGTCGCCCCGACCCCAGAGGCTGAGCAGCAGCAGAGGCGTTCGTGCAACCCTAGCGCATTTTTGTCGCCCCGACCCCAGAGGCTGAGGTAAGGTACGGGGTGTGGAGGGTGAGTTGACCAGGGGTTGTGCGCCGGGCCCTCCTGCTCGGCTCCAGCGAGTAGACAAGTGTTACCATCAACAGAGATGTAGAGTAGATGGAATTTTGGATGGATCTGACCTCGGGGCCGATGTGACCAAGCGCTGGTAGCGTGGCTTTACCTCACACGGTCTCACAGTGTGCCGGCAGTCGCCGAGCAGTGTCGCTCACACAAGCCGCAGCACAAGTGACTGAGGGCCAGTGAGGGCGAGCCCATCGCTGTGAGTGTGACAGCTCTGTGGCAGCCGCACAGTAGGCTATGCCAACTGTGCAGGGCGTGTGAGCAGCAGAGGAGCTGCCCTCCAGGCTTCTGTCGCAAAGAGCTGCATGCCACCGAAGCGCGAAGGCGCTGTCGAGGTTCACCGAGCGCGGCGCAGGTTGAGGGACCACCGTCACCGACGAGTGCGTTGGACTTTTCACTCCGGACAAAGACGGCGACACGCACACGAGCTGCGGCCGTGCCGCCGTCTTAGCGGCGAGGCGCGGGACTGTCTGTGGCGAGGTGGGTCGCGTCCCTCGATTTCCGTCAACTCAGCCTCCACACCCTCTAAGGTAAACGTCTCGACATACACTTACACACATCACACTCATGACTCATGACTCAATTCACAAACACAATTGTGGTGGGGCAAGGGGGGGGCGACCCTCGCATCTCCACAGAGACACAGCAGACTCCACGCCCCGGGGACACGGGCAGACAACAAAACACAACACGGGCAGGAGCTCCTATCCTCGTCGTCACCGCAGCGAGCGGGCTCGCGCGGAGTATTGCGCCCGATAGCGAGTACGCGGCAGCATGCATGATGGGGCGGGTGACCCCCAAAACGAACAGACAGCTGGCGGAGAACCTGCGGTGACACCTGTGGTGCCGCGACCCGTCACGTGCCAGCATCGCCTTGAGCCATGCTCCCTCTGGCAACGCCTTCGCGCCAAACACGCCGTGACGTGGAGGCATGTGAAGGGGCATAGCGACAACAAATGGAACGACTATGTAGACGAGCTAGCTGCTCGTGGCAGGCGGGGTGACAGAGGCTCGAACACGGCCGAGTGGGCGGACGACACCATCCCGACGGACGCTCCCGGCGAGGGGAGCGACACGGAAGGACCCGCCCCCGCCCCTTGCGCCTTGGGGCGGGGGCCCCCACCCCCCCCGGGGGGGCCGTTGGGCCCTCTCCGGGGGGCAGCCCCTCCGGGGAGGCCGGCTTTCCCCGTGCCGGTTCTCCCCAACCAACCCCGCCGGCAGCGCGAGCTGCCGGCCATATTGAGCGGTTCATCCGCGTCGCGCACTCGTCCCAACCGGGGGCCGCAGACTCGTTCTGCGCGCCAACGGCTGGTGACGCTGTGTTGCCCTTGAGCTAGTCCTTCCCCGGTCGCCTAGGCTAGCCTCTGCGCTGTCTGGCGAACCGCCTGTATGCCATGCGCGCGGACCACGCTTGCGTGGATACGTGGCAGGCAGGCTGACCCGTGTGCGGGGTAACCCGCGCACGGGGAAGCTTCACGGGTTCGAGTCGTCAAAAGCGTTTCTGATTCCGTGTGCCACGCAGGTGCCGTCTACTCTCCTGACTGTGCTGGGCTTCCGGATCTCCTACGCGACCTGGGACGCGACCTGCAGCTACGACTACATCGTCGTCAACGGCAAGAAGTACTGCGGCACCTCGGGTCCTGACGGCGTCGCCTCCGACGGCACCATCATCTGGACATCCCAGCCAAACTCGTACCGCGAGACTGGCTGGCATCCCAGCCAAACTCGTACCGCGAGACTGGCTGGCACATCTGCTGGGAGACCCGCCCGCCCCAGGCCCCGCCGCTGCCGCCGTCCCCGCCGTCGCCCCCCCCTCCCTCCCGCCCGCCGCCGCCTCCGCGGCCGCCTCCGCCTCCGTCGCCGTCCCCGCCGCCGGCGCCCCCCCGCCGCCGTACCCCGTACCCTCCCCGCCAGCCGGGCGGCGTCCAACTTGTGGGAGATGGCTGCGTCTTCACCAACGGCGGCTCGTGCGCCTCCAGCCTCAACTTCCCAAACGCGTACGGCTCGGGCGAGAATTGCACGCTGACGAATGTGCCAGCCACGCCGCTGAGCGTGTTGGGATTCCGACTGTCCTATACCTGGTCCGACCCACCCTACGACGACTGCATCTACGACTACCTCGTCGTCAACGGCAAGAAGTACTGCGGCACCTCGGGTCCTGACGGCGTCGCCTCCGACGGCACCATCATCTGGACAGCCAAGTCAGACTCGTGGTGCGCGAATGAGGGGAGCTGCGAAGGCTGGCAACTCTGCTGGGAGTGCCCACCGTGCACCGAGTCTGCTCGCCAGGTTCTCTTTGCGCCGTATGTTGCGCCGGCCGCACATGCGACCGCTGCTGCGTTCGACGAATGCTGCTTCGACTAGTAATAAGATGCACAGTGGTGGCCTACTTCGGCTTACGTAGACCTCCACTCTAGTATTGCGACAGCCCGTTGGAGGTAGGCCGCTCGTCTAGCCCATCTGGGTGAACAACGCACCCATTGAAGGTATTTTCTTCTATCAATAACAGCACCGCAGCGATGCATGCCCGAAAACGAACAACGCACCCCAGGCGACAGCTCCGGCCTGACTCGAGGTCTGCCTGACCCCTGCCACGCCAGCTCTGCGGGAGGTGGGGCGGCTGGGGGGTGCGTTCCGGCCCGGCCCGTAAGCCGTATAAGTAATGCGTAAAGCCGTATAGTGGGGCCCCCCCCCGGGGGGGGCCCCCCCCCAGGGACCCCCAGGGGTAAAGTGGGGCAAATTTTAGGGAAGCAATCAACGGGATGGAATACATTAGGCCCCCCCCCCCCCCCCCACACCGTTTTACGAGTGCGCATCCTCTCGTCGCACGTGGCGCGCCGAGCCAACAGCGACTCTACACATCTAGCGATGCGTCCCGCACGCCTCACTCGTAGTCGTCGAGGTTGCAGTCGTCGCCAAAGACCATCTCGTCCTCGCTGTCGTCGTTGTCCTCCGGGAAGGCGCCCTTTGAGCGGAGGAAGGCGAAGGCGGCGGCCATCGCCGTGTCCTTGTCCTTGAGCGGGAACTTGCCGGCGTCCGCGTCGGCCTTAGCGATGGCGCTCGCGGCGAGGCCGCCGTCGGGCGACTCGGCGGCGGCCGGCGGGGAGACAACCTCGCCCTGGACGGCGCCACAGACGTGCGCGAGCCACTCAGCAGCCGACACCTTCTCCGCGAGCGCCTCCGGCACGTACGCGACCATCGCGAGCTGCTGCACGCCCGCCGAGAAGACCATCTTGCCCACGCGGCCGCTGCAGCCCTTGCGGTCCTCCGCGTCCGGGTCGGGCTCGGCGTTCATCGCCGTCATGCTCGCCTCGAGCAAGCCCACGTCGCCTGCGGGGAAAGGTTCACCTTGGTGCGGAGCGGCCCCCCGCAGAGAGAGAGGCACCTCTGCATCCACTGCGTGCGCGTCCAGCGCGGGAGAGGTACACGGAGGGCGTGCGTCGGTGGGGGGCGGGGCGGGACGGGTCGGAGCGGGTCGTGGCGGCCCGGGACGAGGCGTCGC